GCCTGCCCAGGAGCCCTGGGGGGAGCTGAGGGGGGAGCCCAGGCGCCTGCCCACGAGCCCTGGGGGGAGCTGAGGGGGGAGCCCAGGCGCCTGCCCAGGAGCCCTGGGGGGAGCTGAGGGGGGAGCCCAGGTGCCTGCCCAGGCCCTTCCTGCATCTGCACTCTATGAGAGGTGGTTCCTGAGGCGTGGTGGTGGCTAAGAGCTGTGGACTTGGAGGTGTGACCCAGGAAGCATGTAGCCTCACGTGTGAGCCGTGAGGTGTCAGCTGAAGTGATGTCCCCAGACGTGGCTGAGGTGTGGGCCCCGAGGCGTGGACCCCGAGGTGTGGACCCTAAAGCCTGGGCCCTGAGCTGTGGGCCCTGAGCTGTGGGCCCTGAGCTGTGGGCCCTGAGCTGTGGACCCTGAGGAGTTGACACTGAGGAGTTGACACTGAACTGTAGGCCCTGGGGTGTGTGCCCTGAGCTGTGGGCCCTGAGCTATGGACCCTGAGCTAAAGACACTAAGGTGTGGATCCTGAACTGTAGGCCCTGAGGTGTGTGCCCTGAAGTGTGGGCCCTGAGCTGTGGGCCCTGAGGCATGGACATTGAGGTGTGAACCCTGAGCTGTGGACCCTGAGGCGTGGACACTGAGGTGTGGACCCTGAGTTGTAGGCCCTGAGCTGTGGACCCTGAGGAGTGGACCCTGAGGTGTGGACCCTGAGTTGTAGGCCCCGGGGTATGTGCCCTGAGGCATGGACCCTGAGTTGTGGACCCTGAGGCGTGGACCCTGAGCTGTGTGCCCTGAGACTGTGTGCCATCGTAGGGCAGGGCAGCCAGGCAAGGCTGGTTCTGTCCTGGAACCTGACAGGCTGTCCTCAGCAGGTCATGGGGACGAGCAGGTGAATGGCTCCCTCAACATGTGCCATGTGTGGATCTTTGACAAGATTACAAGACCCTTTATGGCCAACAGAATAACGTCCTAACTCTACCAAGGACCCAGACTGCCACTCCTCCAACCCCCAGTCAGCATGTTGATTCTGACTCGCGACAAGCTGTCAGAATCAGAGCCCGTGCCTCAGGGTCCACAGCTCAGGGTCCATGCCTCAGGGTCCACAGCTCAGGGTCCATGCCTCAGGGTCCACAGCTCAGGGTCCATGCCTCGAGGTCCACAGCTCAGGGCCCATGCCTCAGGGTCCACAGCTCAGGGTCCATGTCTCGAGGTCCACAGCTCAGGGTCCATGCCTCGAGGTCCACAGCTCAGGGTCCATGTCTCGAGGTCCACAGCTCAGGGTCCATGCCTCGAGGTCCACAGCTCAGGGTCCATGTCTCGAGGTCCACAGCTCAGGGTCCATGCCTCGAGGACCATAGCTCAGGGTCCATGCCTCAGGGTCCACAGCTCAGGGCCCATGTCTCGAGGTCCACAGCTCAGGGTCCATGCCTCGAGGTCCACAGCTCAGGGTCCACAGCTCAGGGTCCACAGCTCAGGGTCCATGCCTCGAGGTCCACAGCTCAGGGTCCATGCCTCAGGGTCCACAGCTCAGGGCCCATGTCTCGAGGTCCACAGCTCAGGGTCCATGCCTCGAGGTCCACAGCTCAGGGTCCACAGCTCAGGGTCCACAGCTCAGGGTCCATGCCTCGAGGTCCACAGCTCAGGGTCCATGTCTCGAGGTCCACAGCTCAGGGTCCACAGCTCAGTTGTGGGCAGGGCAGGTGCAGAGCATCTAAATGCAGAGGGATGGGCTTTGCCTTGGGCTCACGCTAGCTGTCTAGGGCCTACTCAGTGGATTGGTCAGTGGGGTACCCTCTTTGTGGTGAACGGCAGACGTCACCACAGCAGCTTGGAGGTGAAGAGAGGGTGAAGTGTGCAGCACTTCCTGAGCCCTCTGCCGGGAAGTGTGATAATGGGGTTTCCATCACCTCGTCGCCTGTCAGAATCAACACGCTGACTGGGGGTTGGAGGAGTGGCAGTCTGGGTCCTTGGTAGAGTTAGGACGTTATTCTGCTGGCCATAAAGGGCTTCATAATCTTGTCAAAGACCCACACATGGCACATGTTGAAGGAGCCATTCATCTGCCCGTTGGCTGAGCCAGGGGTGAAGTGGGCACAGCTCATTCTGATCAGGAAGGGTACAACAGATGGACAGTGGCCAGTGGGAAGTGGGAGATGACCAGGCCATGATCAGGTGGTGGACCTGGGTATTGCTGGGAAGAGAGAGAACCTGACTCAGAAAAGGCCAAGGGATGGGCTGTGGGCCAGGCAGTGGCGGGAAGGACAGTGCTGCGGGGAGGGTGGCAGAGGCCCTGCGTTTGAGGAGCTTAGCAGGCCTCTCCCTGTGGTCCTGCAGCTCCCTGGTCAGCACCAACGAGCACCTGCTGCAAGAGTTGGGCCGGGTGCGGGCACAGCACAGGGCTGAGGTGGAACAGATGCACTGGAGCTTCCAGGAGCTCAAGAAGACCACGGCCCTATTCCCGCCCCGCAGCGCCAGTCTTGGTGGCCGCCAGTCCTGCTGATGCTGCCCAGAGCCGTGATTTCTTTCACTGTCTGTCACAGCCTCATGGTTTGCACCTTTGTCTTTCTCTACCTTCATTTGCTGGTGAGATCTGTCTCTTCTGTTTGTAATTACCTTATGATTCTTGAAAGGTATTCAGGGTTTATAGTTCAGCTTTCTAAAATGTCCTAAAATGATAGGATGAATCCTAGGCCTTTGCATGTTAGGAGACAAAAACCATGTTTGCATCAAATATCCTAAGATGAAGTAAATGCAGTTTTTCTTCCTAACATAAGAGATATCTATGTATAATAATTAAGATGGTAACCTTTTGTGTGACAAGCCTTCCTCAATAAAACTCATGTTGTTCTGAAAAGTTAAGTTTTAAGTGGCTCTTTATAAATTACAAATGAGTTTCTCATTGAATTCTTTGGTGAAAACAGACTACATACCATGGAGAGGGAGTGCGAAATAATAAATTCCAAGACTTAATAAGAGTAATACTTGTAAGATGTGAGAAATACTTAAAAATATTGTTTTATGATACTAACATGTCATAGTAAAAACATCTACTCAAGACCTGACTTTTGCTTGCAGTGTATTTCTGAAAATTATATCATATCAGGACATAAAAATAGGTTTTCAGTTTGGAGGCTTACTTCATATGTAATCCTTGCTTTGGTAAAACAAAGTGACTTTTTAAAAACTATGTTTGCTTTAGCAAGAAAGAGCAGGCAGACGAAGGTGCTCTGTGTTGGCTGGGTGTGGCGTGGTGTGAGTGGGCAGAGGTGGGAGTGAGCCTCAGGTGCCCTTCCTGACACCTGTCATGGCTGGATCCATCAGCATCAGTGTCTGGACTTGCTAGAAAATGTCATGCCAGACTGGTTTTTGCATGGGGTGGGGTCCTGGAAGTCTCAGAAGATGTCAGCACTAGTCCATTTAAGCCTGTAGAGAATGACCACCGTGCCAGCATGTTCCTCTTGTGGGGGTTCTTGGGAAACTTCACCTTTCCTGCCCCTGCCCTGGTCTCTAGCGTGCTCACGTGAGACCATGACGCTGCCAGGTCCTCGAGCACCTTTGTCTTTTCCGTCCTCTGCCTCAGGGCTTCACTTAGGGTTGCTCTGCTGGTCGGTTGCAAGTTGCTGAGCTCTTCTTCTTCATGCTTAATCCAGCTTAGGCCTGGGCAGGCAGTTAGTTTTTATCATCACGATTGTGTGTATTTTAGCTTTTAGATGCCATTTGTTCTTAAGGTTTTGTTTCCCACTGTGTTCCTGTTCCCTTAACTCCTTGACCATGCCCAGGACAGCTCACCAGGTAATGCAGACTGTTCACAACGTGAACCACCAGCAGCCCGTAAGACCATCTCTAGAAGGCGTGCAGTGCACTTCCCGGGGTTTGATTGGCCTTTTTCTGGGTATACGGGTCATCTGGATTTCTTTTTCTGCAGTGACTGTTCAAGTCCTTTCCCTGTTTTCTGTTGGATAGTCTGTTTCCTGTTTATTTGCAAGACTTAGTTATAGGCTGAGCTTCTCTGATTGAAAAATCCAGAGTGCTCCAAAATCTGAAAACTCTTCAGTATATCAGGGTCCAGATGTGCCTCCGTGATTAGTGTACACCTGGCATGTGTGAGGCCCTGGGTTCATCCCCAGCACTGCATGAAAAAAAGTTGAATTTTTGGATTAGGGATACTTAGCCAGTAACATCTATGCAAATATTCCGAAATCTGAAATACTGTGGTCCAGGCAACGTGGTTGAGGAACGCTTAGCCTGTATCCTGAGCTTGGTGCTTTGTGGGTTGCACTCATAATTGGATGCTGCTTTTCATTTTTTAATAGCACTTCTTAAGAGGAATTTCAGACTTTGATATGGTCCAATTATCAGCCCAATTATCAGCATTTTGGATCTAATTGTAAAAAACCATTTTTCATAGTCATTGTGATATTGTGGAATACACATCCAGTCTCTGCCCAGCTTCCTGACATCCAGCTTCTAAAGCCCTTAGATCTCTCAAGGGTCTTTTGGGTGCTGATGTGTTGACTGTTGTCTGCCCCTCGGTAGCTTCAGAATGGGCCAGTATAGGAAAGAGCACAGTAGGTCTGAGGGTTTCAGCCTCCCCCACAGCCCCAGGGCGGGAGGAGGACCCATCAGCCATGTAGTCAGTCATGCCCGCCTAGCGAAGCTTCCACAGAAACCTGAAGAAACAAGGCCTGGGGACTTCTGCGGAGCTGAGCACGAGGAGGTTCCCAAGGGTGGCACAGAGAGTGCGTGGAGCCCTGCACCTTCCCACTTACCTGGCCCTGCGCCCCTCTTCACCTCTGCCTTTGCAGGGTGCACCATGATAAGCCAGTAGCACTTTCCCCAGTCCTGCCAGCGGCTCAGGCGAATGGCCTGACCCCAAGACCAGGGGCCTTGCTGCGGTGCTGCAGGGTGTGTTCCTGACCTGTCGGCTGCGCAGTGCCTGCCTGCAGAGGGAGGAGGCGGCCAGCACCTTCGGTGCTGGAGTGGAGTCAGTGAGAAGTCCCTGTGCTGTTCCTGGGCCCCAGCGTGAGGTGCCCACAGTTCCCCTCCAAAGGAGTCTGCAGAGTGGACTTGGGTCCAGGGGTGCCTTTCACCTTGAGTGGACTTCTGCACGGGCTGGGGTGGCTAAGGACCCACTTCTGTCGTTCTCAGCTGGGTCCAGGCACTTCCACCCCGGTGCTGAAGGCCTCCACATCCGCCTTGCCCACCGGCCTCCACACCTTTCCCTTCCATCAGGAGGTCTGGCTATTTTTGACCTTTTGCATTTCACAAATTTACTGAGCCCTGATTTCTTCAGTAAGTGGTATGATTAAGTTCTAGGACAGTACCTAACATACAGTAAGTGCTGGGTGATCATGGCTTAGATAGCGATGATGACTGTCCTGCTTCAGAGGTGACAGGGTCTTAGGATATCCTAAGATATCTGTTCCTTTTGGGATTTGCATAAGTACACTATCATGAGTCGGGCTGTGCGTTCCTTCTCTGTGTTCCAGAGTCTGTTCACAATTATAATCATTCCATCCATGACACTTGGTGGCGCTAGCCAGTGAAGTCATTTGGGCCTGGAATGTTGTGTGGGGGGACAATTTGGACTAGTGAGGCACTTAAGTGTTTTCACAGAGAATCCAGCCACGTGACTAGCAGCAGTCTTTGAGAACTGGGGTGTGTCTTGTCAGAGCTGAGCAGAGAAGAGGCTGTGGGCCGTTTTGACAGCTGCCTTGTCCTCAGGGACCTTGGTAGCCACATCACAAGGACAGGGAGAACATTCTTGTTGAAAAGATCTCTCACTGACCCCAGGTGGGCTTGTGTGAGAACTCGATGCACCTGTCAGCCGCTGCGGGTCTCCAGCGGGGCAGGCAGCTACCACCCAGTCGGAGGGCTGTGCAGGCTTTCTGCTGCCCTTGAGGTCTAGGAATTGGCCCTCATGCTCTTAGTTTTCAGGCATAACATTTATATTTTCGATGGCATTTCAGTGGCTTCAGCCTTTGAAGTTGTGTCAGGGTGGCAGATGTAGGGATATCCCCTTGTTCAAGCAAGACCTTGCCACACAAGGTGAGGGGTGTGGGGAGGAGAGGTCCAGCTGCTGGGCCACGTCCCAGCAGCTGCCAAGCAGGGCTGCGCCTTACCCTCTGCCTCCTCGCCTCTGGTGGAAGGTGTGCTGACTCCAGGCTGCGCGCCTGCTCACCTCCTCAGCACCCTGCCGCCTCCCACCCCGGGCTCCCCAAGTGTTTGCTGGACATGTTTAGTTTCACAGGAAGTCTTCGTATGGTCACTGAAATTTGAATTACTGGCCTGTTTATTCTCTTTGTTCTGCTCTCTTCACATCCCAGATATTGCTTGGGTGACTCTTTCTGCTTTAGAATTTCCTTTATGTCTAATGGTAGCAAAATCTCTTTTGTTAACTAAAAATGCCTTTATCCTCTTTGGAAGCTGTTTTGTTGGGCTAGTGTTCCAAGTCGGCTTGGGTTTTGTGGCATCCTGCTGATGATGTCATGCCCAGTTTGGAGGTAGCTGGGTGGTTGGTGGTGATAGACGGCTGGCTGTTCACCTGCCCTTGCGTGGTCAGCCCCAGCCAGGAAGCAAAAGGCTCCCTTGGGTAACGATAACCCGGGGCCTGTGTGCTGTGCATGCAGCACAGAGGATCCTCCTGCCCCTCTGCAGTCTCTTCTGGGGTGTTCCCTGTGGTGGATGTTAGGGTTAGAATGTCAGGCCCACTTTGCCAGGAGGTGACGCTAGCACAGGCAGTGTGCACTCTGAGGAAGGCAGGAGACCCATGTTGTAACACCTTTATTCATCACTTTACCAATGACACACGATGCTACGACAGCACACACACAGGAGAAATGTGCAGACAGACAGGAGCTGTTTCACTAAAAATTTACAGGCCAGGCCACGAAAGCAAGTCCAACAGGTGACATGGTGCCTTGCGCTCTGTGGGAGGGACAGCAGGGCCTCAGGACCCCAGAGACCTTCCTGGTGAGTGTGATTTAGACATCAGCAGAAGAGCCTTTCTGAGTCGGAACACCCAGACACCAACATTACCCATCACACTGATAAAGTGATACGCTCGGTTCTCCTTAACGTTAATAAAATCGTGTAAAAATATATTGCATATATATACATAAATTTGTTTCCATTTCTTGAAAAAACTTAGTACAAACTAGTAGTATATTATCCCTTTCAAGTTTCTTTTAGGTTGTGCAAGTTTCCTTTGTCGTTTGGCTTGGTTTAGTTGTTAAGAGGTCTAAAGGAAGAGGGATGGTTAACATAAGAAGGCCTGTCCCGCCGACTCCATCCCGTCCCAGGGACAGGTCAGGCCCTGAAACACAGAGCTCACCGACTCCTCAGTGGTCAGCCAGTGGAGGGAGGGTAAGCAGTACAGTGTTTACGGACGTCTGGCCTATCGATGACTTCACAGTAGAGCTGAGTTGTCACCCTTTGTTGTACTGAGCAGTGACAACAGGTTGTCCTCATGTGGCAGGCGCTGCGGGGCAGAGGAGCAGCGGGCTTGCGTGTGCCCTGTGGGAGGAAGTAGCCGACAGGCAGGCACGCTTCCCCGTAAAGGGACAGGTGTAAATGCTATAGGTGCCCAAGCCCTGGCACCCTCCAGCCACACTCCCTCCAGTCCTGCCACGGTGCCAGAGCAGCTGTGGCCAGTACTGAGCGCACCGTGTGGCCGTGGGAGGCAGCTGCAGCCACCCAGGCTGCCCAGCGCCTGCCCCAAGCTGCCAGCCACTCAGACCCTGGAGGGGTGACAAACAGGTGGGGGGTGGCAGGAATCATGCAGATTGAACCACTAAGGTGCCTTTTCAAAATGTCCCTGCATCTGCTGTCATTGTCGTCTGCCCTCAAACATAAGACCAAGGATATCAAAGGTGTAAAAATACTCCAGTATAAATATATATCTTTTGCTATGATATTTTTAAACATCACTTGAACTTTGATTTTGGTAGAGCTAACCACTACGACCCTTACAGACCACTTACTAGGTGCTTATCCTAAAGCAGTAAACAGAAGTAAATAAGCCTCTGCTAGGATCAGCGCTCCCCACCACTCTCCTACCGCCTCCTTCCCTGAGGGTGACACACCGTCAGCTCCGTCCACCTCGACAACCTGCCCCTCTCTCTTGGGTGTCACCTGACAGAACCTGACTTGTCACCAGTGTCTCCTTATAATTCATCCCTGTCTCCTGGATGTTACCTCCCGACAGAATGTCACCTGAGAGAACCTGTCCTTGTCTCCTGAGAGTCACCTCCTGACAGAACGTGTCCCTGTGTCTTGGGTTGCCTGCTGTGCAGTTTCTGTTACTCACAGGTGCGTTTGCCCCTGTGAACCGTGGTTAGTAGAAGCTACTTGGCACTGAGAAACCACGCGACAGAGGCGGGACCTGCCCACAGCTCACGGCGTCCAGAGCCCAGTTTTAAAGTGTGATGACCACGAAGTCTCCTGGGTTGGTTTTTACTGCCCTTTCCTTGCTAGGGACACAGGTGGGAAGGGAGGGTGTGTTTCAAAGCTACAGTCTGAAACTGACCAGAGAAGGATATGGTCCTTACCCACGTGTGTCCGAGGAAGCCCCTGGAACCTGTTGGGGACAAAATGGGAACCACTCGTCTGATGCAGTGCTATGTGCCAGGTGCCACGAGTACCATGTGATGGGACAGCCTAGCGCATTGGGCTTCCCTGCCACAAGCCCGAGGGCATACCAGGCAGGGATGTGGAGGGCCACCAAGGTTTTTCGTCAATAAAACCCAAGGATTTGTTATGGTGACCAGGAATGCATTCTCCAGTTCTCATGAGAAGTGAGAGGACTTGGTCTGGCAAGGGGCGCGCCTTCAGGAGCCAGAGCTGGCTGGGGCTGGCACTCTGCAGCCTGGGACGTGTGGCCCTGCCAGTCTGTGCTTCTCAGTCCAGTTGTGGGCAGTGATTTCATGAGGTGTTGGCTGTGTGGACAGAGTGCCCAGTCACGGGGGATTGGGGTCCCCTGAGGATGGCACTGAGATGGCTGCTTCTGCGTGGATCCAGTTTCCTGTGTTCCTGCAGCAAGCCAGCCCACGACTTGGTCTGAGTCGTCCTTGTCCGACAGTGACTCACTGACCAGCAGACAGTGTCCTGGTGCTCCACACAGACTGTGGGGTCCCAGGGAGCATCCATACCTGATAACGTGGTACAGGACCCCTTGGGTGCCCCCCTGGCCCATCCCTCTACCCTGGCCCAGGGCACGTGCCTGTCGGGACTGTTGCCCGGCTTGGCCATGATGATGGGAACTAAGCTTCACAGGCAGAAGAAAGGGGGAAGAGCAGCCTCAGACCAAGAGATGGCCAGCCACGGGGGCCCCCTGGGAACCAGGGGTGCTGGAGAGGGCAAGAGCCAGGAGGGTGTGGGTGTTCCGGGGCCCTGGGACTGGGGGACTGGGGAGACCACTGATGAATACTGCTGCTAGTTTGAATACAGGGCTGTGGGGATAGTGGTGAGATTATCTAACACTTTGCACAGAGCTGGTGTCCAACACGTCCCACGTTGTTTTGGCCTCTAATCTATTCCCACAAAAGACCAGCTTGAAGTCTGGAATGCTGGGCTGGGGTTGGGCACCTGGCAGCTTCTCCCCAGAGCAGCGAGATGACACCCACAGGGAGTCCCAAAGCCTCAGACCCAGTTCCCCCTGTCATCCTTGCCAGGCACCTGGTCTCCCAGGACCTCAGAAGGATGCTGTCTGCTGGGGCCACCCCATCCTCATGGAGGCCATCAGTGCTGGGGGACTCGGGGAGCCTTCAGCACTCAGGGACTATCAGCCGGGACCGAGGGCTCTGCTCTGCTCTGCTCAGGGGCTGGGGTCTGGCCCCCACGGGGCTGCAGCTGTGACTGGGCACTCTTCAGGCTCAGGAGAGGTGGGTGGCATGTCCACCTGCCATGGCAGGAAGAGGGCCTTACCGTCTGCCTGTGCTGTGGGCTGGGCTGAGAGTCCACCTGAAGAGCCATCCGGACAGGCAGTGGCCAAGAACAAGCAGGTTCTTGGAGGCATTTCCCCAGGCTGCCGTGGGCTCTTCCCAGGACTACAGCCCCGCGGGTTGCTGTGGGCCCTGGTGACAGTCGTGGCACACGCCTCTTAGCCTCAGTATGGCACAGCAACGCTCAGTCCCTGTGCCTGCACAACACTGAGGAGGGGCTGCACGTGGCAGCCTGTGGTGTGGGTGGCAGGGTCCTGGGCCAGCTCTGCACTGGCCCTGTGCACTCAGCTGCCCATGGCAGGAAAAGAAACCCCAGAAAATGCCACTGGCCTGGCATCTCCCTGGTCCTGAGGCTTGGTGTCCTGCACTGTGGGCTGTCGGGAGGGCGGAGAGCTGAGGACGCTGCACAGACCTCACTGAGGGAGGCGGCAAGCAAAGCCGGGCAGAGCCAGCACAGCCACGCAGGAGAGCCCGAGAGGCCCCCCTCGCACCGAGGCCACTGCGTGGGCTCTGCACCACACGTCTCCCAGTCTGGCTGGTGACACGCAGGGCGAGCTGAGCCCCCTGGACCACTCTAAGCACAAGCGGTCACCATTGCTCATCACGGCTAGGACAGCACAGGGAAGGAGCTGCCCACTTCACTCCCAGGCCACTCCCTGGGCAGCCCAAGGTTCTGCTGTGGCTCCTTGGCCTGCCTCTCACCCCACTGCCCTCAGCACAGACCTGTCCACAGGCACTGCCACACGCCCTGCCAGGAAAGCGTGAAGGGCTGTGGCCCCGGCTCGTGGGGCGCCTCGGACACTGCCTGCGTCCTGCTGGGGTAGCAGTTTTATTTGTGCTGTTGGTTAGTTTGTTAACTCCTACTGCCTAAGAGGCTCCTAGAAGGTGTCAGAAGGTCAGTAGGGCCTCTGACAGGGTCTGCCCCACTTGTTCCCACACCTAACAGCTCCCAAAATGCCCCTTTCCCTGCAAGCAGGTATCCAGTGTGGCACAGTCCCGGGGGACAATTTGAAAAGGACCATCCACTTCCCAGTTCTGGACGAGACAACTGTGTTAGGAAGGGTCAGTGAATCAGGACCCAAACCTGGGTCTGAGAGGTGTTGCCGGGCAGGAGGTAGCCTGGGTGTCCCCTTCCCAGCAGGCAAGGCCAAGGTCCATGAGTCCTGCCCAGTGTGCAAAGGAATGTGATGAAGTGGGACGGGGTGCCAGTCGGGCACGCGCCTCACGCGTCCCCAGCGTCTCCAGGGTGTCGTGCAGCTACTTGCCCCCCTGCACCTTCTGGTCATAGGTGCCTGCGTGTTTATAGCCAGGCACGTAGCCTGACTCATCCACCAGGTCCACGCGGCCAGCCTTGCCCTTGCCCTTGCCCGATGGGTCGAAGCGCTCCTTGTGGGAGCCCGTGAACTTGGTCGTGTCCGTGAGCCGCGACACGGTGGGCGAGGACACGGCTTTCTGCAGGGGGAAAGTGGGGAGAAGAGCGTTAATGCGAGCTAAGCAAGGAGGCAGTTGAGGACAGCCACTGGCCGGTGACTCAGCGGGGCCGAGGTCTGGACACACCCACCTCCCCTGCGCCAGCTCAGTCCTGGGTGCGGGGTGACGGATCTGGCAGTCCTTCAAGCTGCCCGATGTTTGAGGGTTGCACGCCTCTAACTGCAACCAGTGGCCACCCGAGAACAGGGGCTGTGGGAACCCGGGCCCGCCCCTCCGGGCCCCGCCCAGCCAGACCCAGCCCTGCTCACCGTGACCCCTGAGATGACAGGCGCACGGCCCTCAATGAGCCGGTGCACCTCGCGAACGGCCTCCTCGCTGCTCTTGTCCTTGAATCGCTTCTTGGCCAGCTCCTCCAGCGCCTCCTGGAACTGCTCGAAGGTGATGGTCCGGCAGGACTTCCCTCTGTGGATGCGGGCGGGCCCCATAAGCATGGGAGCAGACACCCCCAAGACGGCCCCTGCCCAGCCAGCGTGCGTCCCCACGCCTGCTGTTTGGCAACCCGGGGCACGCAGTGGCCACGGGCAACAAGCACTGCACACTGCCACCAGCAGCCAGCCGCCCAGAAGGAGCCCGGCAACACTCTGTGGTGGCCGGTGGAGTCGCCTCCCCAACCCACACCTGCACCGAGGCCCTTCCCTGGGTCCCCTGTTTCCCCTGCCCTCATGGGGTACAGTCAGCCAGCTGGTGGCTCTAGGTTAGAATAGCCAGAGCCATGATGTGTCCAGACACAGTGTGCCCAAACACATCCCACAGTTTCACCACGTCCTCCCTCAGGAGGTCATCCAGGCAACTTGAAAATGTTCCAAAGTCTTCTTTACCTTACAATTTTGCTTTAAAAACATTTTTCAACTTTGATAGGATCTGTCCCAACTAATCCAAATTAGTGAGTTTTTCAATGTCTGAACTCTGGATGAGGCTCAGGTCTGCAGAGGACCCTGCGCAGCACTGGGGAATACTAGTACACCAGCCAGACACAGGCCGCCTGGAGGGGCCAAGCAACTGTGGCTGCCCACTTACAAGCCCCAAACGTCCAGGGCCCAAGAGACAACGGACAGTGAACGCTGGCAAGGGTGAGAGGGGACCTAGCACAGTCAGAGTGGTTTAAAAAATGAGAGCCAAGTTGGAGAACTGAGTGCACAGTCCCTCAGGACTGTGCACGGGGATGAGGCCAGCCAGGGGGACGGCAACGCCTGCACACACCAGATCCCTCCGACCCACACCTGGCCCCACATGTGTCCACTCAGACACATCCCAGTGCCCCTGAAACTCAGCACACTGGGGAGAGGATGCGTGAGTCAGTACAGGTTTCCCAGAAATAACTGCACATGCTGCATTAATGAAACAAGAGTGGGCAATGTCTCCAAATATCAAACCGCCCCAGAGACACAGATGTCTATCAAGCCAGGAGATGTTGCCCTCCGCCCTCCACAGGGAAAGACGGGGACTGCACAGATGCACAGGCGACTCTGCAGCCCCGTGTGCAGGGGCCTGCCTGCAGGAAGTGCCAGGTACAGCACTGGGGTCTGGGGGGCTGCATAGGTGAGCACCATGGGTCCCACAGCCCCATCCCTCGGTTCTGGCCCCCGAGAGATGAAGATTTGGCCCTCACCTAGCCCCATGTGAATGCTGTCACAGTTTTAGTCACAGTCACTCAAATCTGAAAACCCAAAAGTCCTTCCACACTGGACTTGCAAATACACTGTGGCATGTGGACACCAAATGAGTGATGCCCAGAGGGACACTGGACCCCAAGTGGCCAGGCTGAGGAGCTGGACGTGGAGACGCCTCCACGTGGCTCCCCACAGAACCCGTGTCTTCCAGAGCCTGGAGCGCGCACACTCTTCCCTGAAAACCTGAGACACGTGGATCAGACGCCCTCAGGTCAAGAAAAGAGCTGAACTTGAGGGGGGAGACGTCCCCCACTGGGAGGCCCCAGATCCTGTAGCCAGGACCCTTATGCCTCTCCAGGGAGGATCACTGAGACCCCACAACGGGACTGTGCCCCCAACACATTCTAGAACTATCTGCTGGGGAAAGGGGCTCAGTGGTGTAGTGGGGGGAGGCTGTAGCCCCCAGAAGCTCACAGCTTGCATGTGCCAGCTGTCCCCTGTGATACTGGCTGAACCAGCCGCCCTGGGCTGCTGGAGCCTGCCACCCAGTGCCTGGGTCTGACAGCCTGGCTGTCCTCTCTGGGCCCTGGGGGCCTCTCTGTTTGTCCCGGGCTGTCAAAGCCACTCTTGTCTCCTGCTCACTGGCCTGCTGGGGGGGACATGTGAGTGCCAGGCCGACGGCCAGCCTGTGACCTACCACTGAGGCACACAGCCCCCTGCGGGTGACCACCGCACCAGGCACCACCAGCACGGGTCACGGGGGAGGGGGCTGGGGGGCCCCATCAGAGGCCACATTCAGATGGGGCTGGATGCCTGCTCTGCTGCACCAGGAGCCCCACAGTGCTGCTGAGGAGAGGGAGCCCCGGTCTCGGCCCCAAGCTCACAGAGCTGTCCCCAGGGGACCCAGCACTTCTGCCCACAGCAGTCCCCAGTGAGTCTAGGAACACAATGCCTGTCACTCCAGGGCTCTCTGGACACAGTGAGCCTGTTCTGTAGAGCCCTGGGACTGCGGGTCTCCCCAGAGCTGGGGCTCCCCTGCCCCGGCCTCTCAGTCGGAGCCCTGCTCCAAAGCCAGCCCAGCGGGATGTGGCCTCTGCTCACACCCAGCGCTCCAGTCGCCTGCCTGTGTGTCCCAGGCTGACGGGGGGCCTGGCAGGGCTGCAGGAACCACGCTGGGGCCAATACTGAGCTCAGAGGCCTGCACCTCCAGGGCCCACCCTCCAGCTCCGGGCTTATGCAAAGCCCCCAGCCCCTTCCAAGGCACCTTTGTGAGAGGATCCCTCTCTACAGGGATGGGTGATCAGAGATGATTTTGGGGTTCGGAGAAGGCGGCTGGCTCTCCTGGGCTCCCTGGCTCTGTGACAGTCTGGATCCCCAAGGGACCTCTGAGGAGGGGTTCACCAGCCAGATGCCACTACCGGGAGAGAGCGGGCTGTGGTAAGGGCAGAGCTGCCCCTGCACTTGGAGGGTCAGAGCAAGAATGCTGGTCACGCAGGCATGAAGCTCCACGACACTGGCCCTGGCCCTGGGCTGGGCGTGGACCCTACCTGGGGCTTCTTCAGGGCCGGGGTGGACAGGACTGGAAGCTGCCCACACTTCTGCTAGACTGTGGAGCAGCCCAAGCACTGGCCCAGGGCTCCCCCATGCCCACTGACTGCCCCTGCCTCCCCCAGGACCCAGCCCCAAGATCCATACCAAGATGAGGCTGAGGCTGAGGCTGGATCAGAGCTCTCCAGGGTCTCCAGGCGACCACAACAGCCAGACCACTTAGGAAACCCCTCAGGCTCAGCTGACCAGCGAGACCATCCACCAGCCAAGAGGTCAGGCCATGACCCTGCTGAGGTCCCACTAGGACCCCAGGCCACTGGGCCGGGGCTGTACTAGGGCTGCTCAAGTTCCAGAGGTCTGACCGCGAGCCATCACCACCTGCCTCCAGGGGTCGCCTGGGTCCAAAATGTTGTTACCTCCCTCTGAAGAGGAAATAAGCCATCCTTAAAGTGCCCCCTGGTTCCTGTGCCTGGTGCCTTCGAGGTTCTCACCAGGCCTGGGCACAGGGCCCGCTCCGCCAGGAGGCCTGGGGCTGCTGCCTCCATCACGCCAACCCGTGACCTCGGGGGCCTGACAATTCTGGGTGTCTGGGGAAGGTCATTCCTTACATGGCCTGCATGCACTGTCCAGCTGGTTTACAAGGTAAGGTGGACACTGTCACCAGAATTGCCCCATTCCCTCCTCTTTGACTCACCAGGGCACAGGACCACCAGCCCCCAGACCCTTAGCCAAATATGCTGCACACGACTTTTCCAGTGCCCCCCGCCCCACAGTACTGTGGTGCCTCCCCTCAGGAAGAAGCCACGGTCTCGGCACTGCCACAGGTGGCCACTAGGGGGCTGCTCAGCAATGGGAAGGGAGGCCACGCTCCGCTCCTGGAACCAAGATCCTGGGTCTTGCCCCATGCCCTGTGCTCACCCTCCCTTGGGACATGTGGCTGTGTCCCAGGCCCAGTAAGCAGAGCCTGAGGAAGGGGGCGCCCCAGGGTGGGTGCAGAGGTGAGCAGGGCTGGTGTCTCCTGGCTTTCCGGGATGAGTGGGCCTACCGAGGGCACCCAGCATCTGCCCCTCCTGCAACACACCTGGCTGGGGCTCTCCCGGGCCTGGGCCTGCTTCTGGGACCTGTGCCCAGCTGTCTGCAGACTTCGGACGATGTCCTTTAGGTCCAACTGGCCACGGCCTAGGGTTGGCATCAGGCAGCTACCTACACAAGCGGCAGCCAGCAAGCCCTTGGGGCCCGACCCTGCTCTCTACAGTGGGCACTGGCCCTACAGAGGGCAAACTGGCCATCACACAGCCCCCACGTGGGTGTTGGTGGGAAGTGGTGAGCCCTGCCTGCAGGCCACTCTCCCAGTCAACAAGTCTGGCCCTCAGCCTCCCCACCTGGCAGCACCGTGTTCAAGGCAGGTGGCAGCAGACCCTGTGGCTCCCACGCACCCTGCCCAGGCACACGCAGGCACACACAGACCTGCGGTCCATGCCCCAGGGCCCATGGACCCCACCCTGGGCCTGCCTGAGGTCTCCATTAACCATTTAGAGTCGGGCCAGCCGAGCTCTGTGCAGGAGGGCGTCTAGGTTAACAGTAGTCTTCAATAAAGCTTGGCGGAGAGCTGAGAGAAACTTGTTTAAAATTTAACACATAGTAACATCAAAACAAACAAGCGCTGCCATGGCGACAGGGACCCAAACAAAGGCTGCAGATACCCCAGCTGGCGCCACGCCCGCGGAGCCATGGCAACCTGCCCTGAAAACAGAAATAGTGGACTTTTTCTCTCCCAAGCCCTGTCAGTCAGCAACTTCCTGGCGGTACCTAAGTGCTTCCTCGGGGTCCCCAAGCCCTGGAGGTGAAAGCTCCCGGCTGCCCTGGAGGGCTGTGGACCCCACTTCTAAGTGCCGGGCACACACAGCCTGTCAGCACCCCATGATTTCCGGGAAAACCCTGGCCATCCCCTGACCCCACTTCTCCAGCCTTTCTGCAAGACCCCAACACCCTGTCCCAGGTCATTCTTCCCCCTGGCCTTGCTGACCCCCAAAACCCTGCCAGGCCAGTCTCCCTCTCCCCAAGGACAGGGAGAGAGTTCAGGTCTCTCGTCCTGCACCCTGGGAGGGGAGGGGACCTGCCTGATACAGGGACAGGGACCTACTTGGTAGGCCCAGGTCACAGGGACGCAGCAGAATCCAGGCTGCACGTGGGAAGGACAGTCCCAGGGTGGGGAGCACCCTGAGGGAGACCCCATGATCCTCAGGCAGATAGGGAGCCAGAGCCCTGGGCCTAGCCAGGCTCTTGTCCTGGCCACCTGTCTGCTGAACCAGCTATGGAGGCACACAGTGTGCCCACGGGCCCTGCGCACTGACCGCCCAGCCACCGGGGCCATGTCGGGACCTCGGCACTATCTGGGCTTGGGCTGCATCTGGCCGTATCCCCAGACCTTGACCTCCAGGGCAGGGGCACCCTGAGTTCCCTGGGCAGCCTGGGGTCTATGCAGCGTGGGACACGCCTTGGAGTAGGGCCCAGCCTCAGTCTGAAGTGGCCCCAGGGGCAGGAAGGCCGCATGTCCCTTCACACGGGGTGGCCATGCCCAGCCTCTGGAGCACAAGCCCCCGGGCCACCCCCTGGGAGGCGGCCACGCTCCATGCCCGTGTGTGGGCACACGGGCAGCAACCGGGAGGCAGTTTCCCACAGAAGGACGGGATGCGCCCCTGGAAAGGCCACTTCCTCCCACCTCTCTCTCACCTCGCCACCTAGAAGCTGCCCCCTGAGCACACCTCCGGCCTCCTTGCTCCTGGGGCTGCTCCCGACCACCCTGGACACGCTGGGCTCACTGAAGACACCAGAGAGCCCACAGGGCACACTGAGTGGAGCACCATGGGCCGGCTGGCCTCCCCCGAGGGGCTCTCGCACATCCACAGTCCATGCCGGAGCAGGCTGCAGGGCCTCGGGGAGCGGACGGGGCTTCACAAGACAGCTGCCAGCGGAGGAGCACTGGGGACAGGGGCCTCGCCGTGCTCAGGAGCCAGCCCTGCCTCTCCAGCCACAGCAAGCCCCACAGGAGGCAGCTGCCCCTCTTCACAGCTGACCCAGTCCCCTCCCTGGGCTGGCATCACGGCACAGCCACTTAGCCAAGCAAGAGCTCTGGGCACAGGATGAGGGCAGGGCCTGTGCCAGAGGCCCTAGCCCCAGATCATCTGGGCACAGTCCAGGTCAGGGCCCTTGCCCACAGCTAGCCCACCTGCCAGAGCAGACTTGGTGACCAGGACCTGCCTATCCCTGCCTGGGACCGTCCACTCAAACCCAACTGGCAAGTCCAGTTGCTACAAGGAGGCTGCAGGTGGCCTCCAGGGAACAGACAGACCCAAGCCCATGACCAGCCCCAGGAAACACAGGAGCCCAAGAGCCAGGGGAGTCTCCCCAGCTGAGGCTCGTGGGGGGCCTGTCCCCTAGCCTTGCTGAGATCCGAGGGAGCCAGGGGCAGCAAGCACCGAGCACCCAGATCGGCCTCAAAGGAGCTGCAGCTGTGGGCAGCTGGGGGGCCTGGGGGCTGAAACTGGCTGCACCAGGACAAGCATGCCTCTGGGTCCTTCCGAGCTGTCCCCAAGACCCTGGCCTTCCTGGCTTGTCACACGGAAGAATCAGCTCCCACCTGAGGTCATACCTCCCAGGTTCTCATTGCCACCCCCTCTGGAGGTAGCAGTGGACAGCAGTGAGGCCCCAGCCAGTGCTGCCACAGCCACTTGGTGCACAGGACCCGTGCAGAAGCAAGAGTTGGGAGAAGAGGCTGGGCACAGTGGTGCACGCCTGTAATCCCAGCGGCTCAGGAGGCTGAGGCAGGAGGACTGCCAGATCAAAGCCAGCCTCAGCAAAAGTGAGGCACTCAGCAACTGAGTGAGACCCTGTCTCTAAATAAAATGCAAAACAGGGCTGGGACGTGCCTCAGTGGTCAAGTGCCCCTGAATTCAATCTCTGGTACCTCCCCCCCCCAAAAAAAAGAGTTGGGAGAAGCACAGGGGCTGCTGTCCAGGATGCACAGGGGGTCCCAGTGAGGCCCTTCCCAAGCAGGGCTGGGTGCCTCTGGGGCTGGTGCCGTCAGAGGGTAGGCCTGGGCCTGGAGGCAGTGAGTGGGACTGTGGCCAGAGCAGAAGGCGGGGTCTGGGAAGCTGGGGCTAGACGCGAGGCTCCTTGGTGGATGGCAGGGCAGAATGACCACAGGCCCAGGAGCTGCCACAGCCTCCTCACATCCTGGCCCCAGACCCCCAGACCCCAGGAGGAAACAAGCCTGAGCTGCCATGGAGGAGGGCAGGCACCCAGCCTCGATTCCCAGCAGAGAGACCTGCTCACCAGGCTGCCCTGTCCCTATGGTCTCCACGAGGAGGCTGGTGCTTTACCAGCTTCTCCTTCTGAGTCAGATTGTCCTGTGCAGCCCCCTGGAGCTGGGGGAGACTGGAAGGAGGCCAGTCCACCATAAGGGTTTGGAGACCCATTTGAGTGGGTTTCATGGCCCCTCTGGCATGACTGACCACTGCCCCCAGACCACCACAATGGGCTGTAGACCCCAGAAGCTCATCCAGATTCACGCTGGCTCAGAGGTGCCCCTCCTCTACAGAGACCCCAGAATCCCAGGAACACAGGGAAAGGCCAGGTTGGCACTGGGGCTGGCGGAACTAATTGCCATGGAGCCCTTTCTGGGGGCCTTGGCCTTGGGCCACACAATCCCCAGTTGGCCTTTTCCCCTCCAACCCTAGCCTGGTGCTGGAGCAGAGTCCCCGTGTCCCCGGGCCCAGAGCAGTGGTGGCAAATGTGACCGGCTCTATCTTTTCTCACAGGGGCATGAGCCAAGGACCCACCCAGCCAGGCCTCCTAGTCGCGGAAGCCCAAGGAGCCAGCAGCTGGACCACACGCACCCTGCCCTGCCCACTGCTCCTCCGAGCGGAGGCAGGAAACAGCAGCATAGCCACTGAGCACTGGGCGTGTGAAGCCCTCGGCATCCACCCAGAGCTGGAGGGCAGTCCCAGCAAGCAGCACCCACGGAGACCCACAGGGCCACCCAGCAGGACCCCAGCGTCTGATCGACAACCCTGCCTCAGTCACCAAGGCGGGCAGGAGGGAAGGCAGCCAAGTGGGAGGTGGCAGGAGGACCCTCGGCTGGACACAGACTACCTGAAGCAGACGCGCTGCTCCAGGCTGGACCTGTGCAGGGCAGGAGGGTGGCCAGGGCCGGCCGCTCTCCCCGGGGGTGGCAGTGGGGAGGCGGCAGCCAGCCGTCGTCCAGGTGCCTCAGAGATGCCCAAGGAAAGGGGAAGGGGCAAGGCGCCTCGACACACTTCCCAGCGTCCTGCAAGGGTGCGCACCAGACGCACACGCCCACACATGCGTACGCACGTGGAGCACATGGAACACGCAGCGCGGTGCGCACGCGGAGCGCACAGAGCGCGGAGCACACGGAGCACGCAGACGGTGCGCATGCGCTGTCTGCACAGCCGGCCGGCTGCTCTCTGACCACCAGCTCAACTTCCCTGCCAAGTCACAGCAGGGGGCACCACGGCTTCCGGCTGTGGGCTGCTGTCACCCCTTGAGGACAGGGCTGGCTGGCCTGAGCCCCATCTGAGTTGTCCTCACTCAATGTGCAGCAGCTGTTTGTGACCCGGAGCAGAGTTCACCCCGCTCCAGGGCCAGATGCCCCAGAGGCCACTCCAAGCCCCCACAGTAGGACGGGTGGGGCCCCGGGTGGTGGGTCAGGAGCCGCGCTCTGGAGGCTGGGCAGCTGGGCTCCCTCTCGGTCCCGGTGCACTTACTTGATCTTACTGAAGACGATGTCCACATCGGTGATGGTCACGTTCTTCCCGTCAATCACGTGACAGTCCTTGCACAGCTTGGACCAGTTCTTGCCGTGCATCTCCTTCCCAGTGGCCCGGGTGTCCCCATGGACCGCGAACCGCCGGAAGGCCTCCTCCAGCGCACTGAGCTCTGGGGCAGCGGCCGCCCCCTCGCTGGCGCCCTCTGATTCCAGTGACAGCCTCTTGGTCGCCTTGTCCCTGGCAGGGTCCCCTGGGGACTTGGGGGGTGTCCTGTTGGCTGCTTTGGCAGGCTTGGCCTTGCTATCAGCCATGTTGCTGGGGAGGAAGGAGAGAAGAAGGTCACTTTGCCTCTCACAGGTGCCGGGCCACAGGGCGGAGACTCCAGCATGTGTGGCAACAGCTGGAGGGGCCAGCCTCCTGGGGCCAGGACCCTCCAGCACCCACTGCCCAGGAAGATGGCAGCCTGGCTCCAGGACCCGTGCTCGCCACCTGTGAGGCCCCACTGCAGTTTCCGTCCCAGCACCCCAGCCTCGGTGCCCTGCCGCCTCCCTGGGCCACATTGCTGTGCTGCTGCAGGGACTGCGGGGCCCATGAGAGGACACTATGCTCAGGGTGGCCCAGGCCAGTCATGCTACTGCCTCCCACGCTCAAGGTCAAACCTTCTGACCAGGCCGGAGGGGGCTTTGCCAGGGGAGCGGCCCCGGCGGACATTCGAAAAAGGCCTGCCTAGGTGCCCAGAGCCTACCACTGCCCCCCAGGCCTGGGGCCGGGGACTCATGTGCGGGGGTTGGTGGATAGCGGCTGCCCTGAACCTTGTGGATGCTGATCTCCAAGGCAGGCAATGACATCGACAGAGCGGTGCCACCTCCCAGCTTGGGGGTGCAGGGCCGGGCGGAGCCCCCACTGTGGAGACTGTTGGTCCCTTGGGTGGCACCTGGTCAGTTCCAGCCCTGAGGAGCAGTGCCACAGGCTGACAGCCCTACAGAGTGTGACCCTCCACAGCAGCACGCAGTGTCTGGGGGAAGTTCACAGGCCCTTCCAGGCTGGAGCACCCTGAGCCAGCGTGGCCAAGGCTTGGCCATATCTCTTGGCCCCGGGATGGGGCAGGGTGCAGCTCCTACCAGCTCAAGCTGCACCAGTCCCCAACACAGAGCCACCCCGGTGAGGCTCAGCGGCCGGGCTGCAGACTGGCAAGGGCGGGTCCCCCAGCCTGCTCCTCCGGAGAAAACATGGCCATGCTGGGTGGAGATGCTCCCTGGAGGCACCAGGTCATTGCAAAATGGAGGACTTCCGGGGGCCGGGGCAGGGGTGGATGAGGAGACATGGTCATTTGGAAGCTTTGCTAGAACTTGACCTGAAGTCTGAAGCCCAGGGGTCCCCACATTCCTCCAGGGTTCGCCCTACGGCCCGTGACCATGCATTTGAGGTGGTCATCTGAGCCTCAACCACCCAGCCTTCAAGTCTGTCCCACATGAGGAGGACAAACTGGCTCCTCACATGGCTCCTCCCACTGGGACAGACAGGTGTGAGGTGAGAGCATCAGGCAGGAAGTTAAAGCCCGTCAGAGGGTGGGCGCTGGGTTTCACCTGGATGGAAGAGGAAGCACAGCAGATGCAGGCCCCTGTGGACAGCACTGCACCAGGACAGTCCAGGGCTGGACCCACCAGACAGGCTCTGGCCACTCTCCATCCAGGTTCCTCCTACAGTAGAACCACAAGATGGCGAGCAGATGGCAGCTGAGGATGGGTTCCAGAAAGGAAGGAGCAGGGAGACACAGGGATCTGGGCCAGGCTCTTGTGGGCAGCCCTGGGCACCTGGCCTTGCCCACTCTACAAAAGACTTCCCACTGAGGACTCCCACCCACGCTGCACGCAGGATAGAGAGCCACGGGTGTTGCAGACAGCTGGGCTTGGGAATCTGGCCATGCCACACGGAGGAGGAGTGGTCACAGGGAGCCTGGCTTCCACGAGGGACAGGGTGTCGGCACAGGCTGCAGGGCCCGAGCAGGGGTCGGCAAAGTCCAGGGTTGATAGAGCACAGGAGCCATTGGGGAGTGGAAAGCTGCCTCTTGAACCTCAGCCCTGGGAGCCTGGGCCCGACAGAGTGGCTGACGTCAGAGTAGTGCCTGCAGGGTGGACCGTCCCACCTGAGGTTCTCAGAAGGCTTGGGACAGGAGCAGACAGCGTGCAGACGGACGGCAAGCCCGTGACCGTGACTGGGCTCTGCCAGGTGTGCATCTGGTAGTATTACCCGGAACACATAGAAACCTGATAAAACATTGTTTTGCTGTTTAAACAAGAATAGAGACCCTAAGTGTGGCTGTGTGAAGACCCCCAAGTCTCTCCGTTCTGGCATGCAGAGGTGCCCTCTCCAGCCCGAGCCTGAGGCCACAGCCTTCCCCTGCACCCCTGCCCACTGGCCCCCTATGCTGCTGGACCCAGGTGGCATCCTCCCTGCCTTTTCTGGTGTGTGTCCTGCATCCAGGTGCATGTCCTGCACCTCAGGTGTGTGTCCTGCACCCAGGTGCGTGTCCTGAAACTCAGGTGTGTGTCCTGTACCCAGGTGTGTGTCCTGCACCCAGGTGTGTGTCCTGTACCCATGTGTGTGTGTCCTGCACCTCAGGTGTGTGTCCTGCACCTCAGGTGTGTGTCCTCCACCCAGGTGTGTGTCCTGTACCCAGGTGTGTGTCCAGAACCTCAGGTGTGTGTCCTGAACCCAGGTGTGTGTCCAGCAACTCAGGTGTGTGTCCTGCATCTCAGGTGTGTGTCCTGAGCCTCAGCTGTGTGTCCGACCTCAGGTGTATGTTCTGCACCCAGGTGTGTGTCCTGAACCTCAGGTGTGTGTCCGCACCTC